ATCAGGTGTCCTCAGACCATTAACTTGGCAGTAGAAATGATTTACTTTTGAGGACATCTTTCCCTCAGATATGCGTAAATATCTGGCAAGATATGCAGCTGGGTGCCAATATTAATTCAGCCACTAAAAAAAGCTCAAGGTCTGTTTAAATATGGTGCCTGGCAGGCAAACTGACTCTGTATGAGGAAGTAGAACAGCCCTTTGCCTCCAAGTTTGGACTAATCGTGGTGAGGGCAGGCTTCGTGCCCATTCCCCCTCGGCACTTTGGAAGAGGTGCCACCTTGAGCTTCTCTTATTTTGTTCTCCTGCCAGAACCTTAGCATCCCGTTGCCCCATTCCCAATACATCTGGCTGCCAGCTGAGGGGAAAATTTCAGAAAGCAGAGTAGAAAAGAAAAAAAGGAAGAATAAGCATCAGACTCAGATGAAAGATATATTGGAAGAAAAGAAGAATAGAACTGTGGAGTTGGAAGGGACCACAGGGATTCTCTAGTTCAATCTGTGGTGTGCAAGAAAAGCAATTAAACCATCTTCAAGAGATGGCTGTTTAGCGGCTTCTTAAAAAGCTCCAGAGATGGAGAATCCATAATCTCCATAGGTAGACCCTTTTGTACAGATCTTACAAAGGATGTTTTTCCTTATTTAAAGAACATCTAGATACAGTAGCTGCAACTTAAATCCTTTGTTTCTTGTCTTAATTCTGTGACAGTAAAAAATAGTTCATGATCATCTTCCTCAGGGCACCCTTTTATGTACCTGAACACTGGTATCATCTCTCCCTTCTGTCTTCTCTTCTCCAGACTGAACATACCCAGTTCCTTCAGACTGTCCTCACAGGGCAGGTCCTCATGTCCCTGTATCATCTGTTGCCCTCCTCTGAACCTGTTCTGACCTGCCAACATCATTCTGGAAATGTGGTGCCCAGAACTATACACAGGACTCCAGATGTGCCCTCTCCAGTGCAGAGTACTGTAGAGGGGGACTTCACATATACTTGATACAGTGCTTCCTCAAATGCAGCCAAGAACTGCATTAACCCTTCGAGCAGCTGTCTCACGATTCAGGCTCATGTTCAGTTTGTCGTCAATGACTACACCCAAATCCTTCTCAAATGTAGTATTTCAAAGCCACAAATCCCCCATCTTATATGTATGCCATATGTTTTCCCTCCCTAAATGCAATACTTTATATTTCTCCCTGCCCAGATCAGATTGTAATCTATTTTTGTCATCCTGGGTATTGAACAAATCTCCTAATTTTGTATAATTTGCAAATCTGATAAGCAGCTCATAAATTCCATTATCCAAGTCGTTGTTAAAAAATGTTGAATAATACTGGCCTCAAGACAGATTCCCATGAGATCCCATTCCTATGAGATCCAACTCAATGTAGAGCCATTAATGCTGACTGAGTGCAGTAAGCCAGTTGTAGAAGACTTACCTCATTGTAGTGTCATCTAAACCATGCTAACAGTGAGAATGTCACATGGAACTCTGTCACAAGCTTTTAAAAATCAAGATAAATTATTTGCACAGCATTCCCTTTGTCTCCAAAAGTAATTTTCTTGTCAAATAAGTGGTTAAGCTTCATCTCACACGCCCTATTTCTGACAAACCCATGCTGATTCTTAACAATCACAGCATTGTCTTTCAAGATGCATGGATGTTCTAACATCTTTCCAGGTATTGATGTTGGGCTGACTGGTGGATAATTACTGGGATCCTCTTTTTTCCTATCTTGAAGAGGTGGAACATGTTTACTTTTCTCCAGTTCTCTGGCTTTCCAGTTCTCCAGGAAGATAATTCTCAGAGATAATTGAGGAGATAATCTTGGCAGTTCTTAGCCTGTTCAGTCTTCTAGGATGTATTTAATATGGGCCTAGGGACTTGAAGGCATTCAAATTGACTAGAAGATCCTTTACCAGATCTTACCATCCCCTGCAGATCAGTAAGTGTTAATTTTCAATCTGTGCTACTCAAATTGCTATTTCCTTTAAAAAAAATAAAGACAGAGGCAAAATAGGAGTTGAGTTCCTCTGCTTTCTTTTGGTCATCTGTTAAGATTTTTCCATTTGGAGTAAACACTGAACTCATTGCCTCTTCCTATTGACATATTTGAAGAAGCCCTTCTTGCTGGATTATACCTCTCATCTGTTTTGCTCATTCTCTGTCCCTGCCTTTCTGACCTCATTCCTACATTTTTGAGCTGAAGCTTTGTAGACTTCCTTGGTCATTTCCCCTTCCTTCCATTTGCAATAAACATCCTTTTTCAGTTTCTTTCCAATAAGCATCTTTTTTAAATTTCAATTTCTTCTCCCACACTTTGGTTCTTTTTGAAATGGGCAGATAAAAGGGGAATTTCTGACAACCAGGTCAACATTTGTTAGGAGAGAGAAGGATCAGTGGTGGGTTGCCTGTTGGGGAGAGGTTCTCAAATTCAGGTGTGAGAGGTGGGTCTGGGATATTATGAGGGAAGGAGAGATATTACCAGTGAGTAGAGAGAGGCATGATAGGCATAGGGCTGGCTGGCTGGCCATTCCAGAAGAGGAACTAGCAATTTGGTGTTGGTTTCCTTTTTTAGTTCAATGGCCTCTCTCCTAGGTCTTGGATGTCTCATTATGTTGTTTAACATCTACATTAAACTACTGAGTGAAGTCATTTGTCAATTTAGGGTGAAGTATATCTAGTCGTGGATCTGTACCCCAAGCTAGACAACAGATACAGTTAATTTTCTTATCTGTTGCCTGGGGGCAATTAGGGACAAATAAGTTGAAATTGAATCCTAGCAAGATGGTTTGTTTAGTAATTTGATTTTTATCCCACCTTTAATTTTGGTCAACTTAAGCTGTGTACATACTGAATGCCCTGCCTCCTATTTTTCCCACAACAATCCTAGGAGGTGGTTTGGGCTGAGACATCCAGTTGGCTTCCATGCCTAGGGGAGGACTAGAATTCATGGTCTCCTGATTTTTGCTGTTTGTTCAGAAGCTGTCAGGTATGACAGTGGGACATTTACTGGCTCTGGACAGGACTTCACTCTCCTGAAGGGGCAGGTGCACATTTTGGGGATTTTCCTGGATTCGCATCTTCTACTTCATCTAGTGGAGGCTATGGCTAATGAGGCTTTGCCCAGCTTTGACCGACATTCCAGTTTATTTATTTATGAAATTTATAGATTGCTCCACTCTTGTCACAACTCTGGATGGTTTACAAAATAAAAGGAATAAGAAAACAGCTATACAAATTGCCTAAAAAGGAAAAAATCTGGAAAAAAACAACAGAAGTAATAGACCAAACATCTATTAAAGGGGTTCATTCCCCAGTCTAGCCCCAGGCTGGTTGTAATGGCGTGTTTAAATAAGGTCACTGTGTGAGTCATACATCTCTCAAGGGGAATGCTGTTCCAGAGGGCAGGCACCATGACAGAGAAGGCCCACTTCTTGGGCTCCATCAGGTGACACTGTTTAATTGATGAGACCTGTAGCAGGCTGACTCTATCAAAGCATATGGGACAGGCAGAAGATAGACAGTCTCTCAGATAACCAGGACCTGTATCACGAAGGGCATTATACGGCATGCCATATTACAAAGGGCTTGAATTGTACTCCTATGCAGCTCAGTACTAGAGGTGTTACATGAGCATACTGTGACCTGCCCACGCTGCTACACTACAGACTGGCTGCAGCTTCTAAGTGGTCTTTGAGGGCAGCCTCAAGTAAAGCACATTGCAATGAGAGGTGCTCAAAGCATGACTGACTGTCTTAAAGGCCTCCATTGCACTATATTACACTTACATTGTGGATGCTGCATTGGTTGCCAGTTTGATTCAGAGTGCAATTCAGAATGCTGGTATATGGCTTGCTCCATGTTATCTGTGGAATCTTCTTCTCCACATAGAATCTGCCTGCCCTGCGCTATCTTAGGTTCCTCTCCCCTGGAAGGTTAGAGGAGCAGGGGCGTGGAAGCAGGCCTTCTCTGGGACTGTCCCATCTCTTTGGAATATTTTATCACCTGCAATTTGGATGCCCCTGCTCTCAGCTGGAGTTCCAGGTGGCAATGAAGACATTATTCATTAAGCCTCGGTTGCCTGAAGTGCTCGTGTCCCTGGGCTGTTTTAAATGTTTTTTCAATAATATATTGTTTTAAATTTATTGTGACCTCTGTGGGATTGGGCAGGATAAATACATATATAAATCCAGGAACTGCCAAGGTAGGATGTGCAAATTATATGCTAAAAATTCTGTGATGAGATCTTGGGAAAAGCTGGGTTCCCTTCTCATCCTGCTGGTTTCAGACACTGACTCTGCATCAGTGGCATAGAAAGTACCTAATGTCGTGAAGTTGGCCTGTGCTCTCTTGGTATTGTCAACTCAAGCCACTCACAAGGTCCCAAGTTAGTGTTGCGGACAGATCTTTGCTCAGAGACAGGTTTTGTTAAACTTGAATTAGGCATCAAATCTGTTTCAGAAAAAGAAAATGAGGCCTCTGAAGATCTTTTTCCCTTACCCCAGAAGTTGGATAATTGGACTTAAGAACATGGCCCTAACCGTGCTCTGGAACTGCTCTCAACACCTCTCAACTGCTCTTGCAACACCAAGTTTGACATGCTGGCTTGCCAAGGATAAGGTCATTTCCATCTGGTAAATATTCCCCATAATCACACTTAGCATACCTTGAGAGTGGAGCAGAATCAAACCAAACACCTTCATGCTTTAGACAAAGGGCCCTTTTCTAAGTCTTTGGTGGACCACCTTTGCCAAGCCTAGTTTGCTATTCCAGTAACTGTCTTCTTGTACAGCTGAGGCTACAGCATGGAGGCACCTGGCAGACCAGGCCAGCTCCGCTGAACTACATGGACCAATCTGGATCTAGCAACAGTGAGGAATGAGGGGATCCTGTTCTCTTTCTGCCTCTAGATCTACTGTTGAAAAGTGAATGTCATCGCTGGGGGAAAAAAAAGGAAAAAACCTCCCTCGAGTCAAACCGGACTCTCGGTGACTTCATGGGCACGTCCACGCAGTCTCTTGGCAGCCGCATGGAAATGGGATCGCCGCGGCCTCTTCAGGGCCCCTTTTTCAACACCCCAGTCTGGCCTGCAGCTCCAAGCTCCGAAAGGTACCGTAAGCGCCTCAGTACCGTAACAATCACCCTCCTCTGTCGTTTGCTCTCAAAAACCATAAAGCTGCGGCCGCAGGTGCCCAGCAGCAACCCGGCCTTGTGCCACGGCCGCACTTCCGGCTCAGTCCCGCTCTATTCTTTATTGCCGTCCCAGGCCCGTAAAAGACGCACATACGTAATTTGACGTACAAAAATACCAATAAAGCACCGACATAAAAGAAACCTCGAGGCAAAGGTACCCCCCGGCCTCTGGGGGCCTCAGCGACTGCAAGACGCTCGGCGGGGTCGGCTTCGCTTCCTGGAGAGGACGCAACGGCGGCCTGAGGCGAGGCGGCGCCGGCTGCTGACTGGCGATTCCTCAGCAAGGCCGGCTGGCGAGGCGTTTCGGCCTCCCGGCCGGGGCCCTACAAAAACCCCGAGGAGCTGCCCGGGC